ACCCCAGAAGGGCTCGGTGGTGCTGGTGTTGGGCAAGATGTGTCCCCGGCAGCCTGGGGATGGGTCTGTGCCTGTGGTCCCCTCTGGTGGGTCCGCATGGCCTCAGTCCCTCCTGCTCCCCAGCACAGGACCACGCATCCAGGAGGAGGCTCTGCCGCAAGAGGCTGCGTGGGAAGGTGCAAGGAGGATGTGTGTGAGCTGCCGCAGGGCTCTGCCACCCAGAGCACCCTGGGGGCTGAGGAGGGAACGCCACGTGTGGGTGCTGAGCAGGGTCCCCAGAGGGCTGGTCCCCTGCAGTGTCCCTGCCTGCTGTGCTGGGCCCAGGGGACAAGACAGTGACCTTGAGGCAGGTTTCCTCCTTGGAGGCCCTGCTGTGGGGACGGCCCTCGTGGCGGGGTCACGGGCACCCTCTTAGTTTGGAGCTGGCTCAAGAAATGTGGGTCTGTAGTGAGGCAGAGGAGTCTCTGAGCAGCCTGGGACCAGCAGCAGCTCCCAGTATCCAGGGGACAGCTACAGCTGTGGCCACCAGCTGGCCTCTGTTGGGCCCAAGCATCATCAAAACCACTGCTGTGGACCTCAGACTCCTCTCCTTCCTTGGCCTTCTCACAAGGGAGACCTAAAGCATCACGAGGAGTGAATTAATGGGTGTTGGGAGCTTAAAAATACAATGCTGTATCTGCAGCTGTGCCACCTCCAGCTGCCGAGCATGTCCCTCCTACCTGCAGAAGATCAGAGAGATGATTCCTTTCCTTGGCTTTTATTTTCTTCTCTCAAATGTCTCCCTGGAGCTGCTCCCTGTGTGGGTTTCCCCCGATGCCCTCCCCTGTGCCCCGACAGGTCATTCCCAAGCCCCCAGCCCTGCCGTGCCCTTCCAGGCCTGAGGCAAGCTGATGGCCACCCTCCCTCTCTGCTTGGGAGGCACAGCCTGGATGGTGGCTCTGGGCTGCCCGGCTTAACGCATCAGATGGGTCCAATGGATACTGCCAGCCCGGAACAAGGAGTGACACCCATCCTCGAAGGCAGGGCTGTCGGCAGCACCCTGGCAAGGGGTGTCCCAGAGGTGGCATGTGACCTCATGGACGTGTGGTCCCCAGGGTGCATGTGTGCCCATGGAGGAGACGGAGCTTGGGGTGGAGGATGCCTGGGGCAGCACCAGCTGTGGCGGGGGGGGG